CAATATTGGTCCGGAAATACGCACCGCACTTGGAACAGAGCACAAGTGAAGAGACAAAATTCATGACAGTCATTCGTAATTGTTGTTGGTCTTTCCACTCGCTTTGAAAAGTGGGGTTTTAACTATAAAAGGTTGGTGAAAAGTGGTGGCGGGGAGGGGGGTGAGAACAATTGATATGATGTCCTCCCTATTTTGAATAGGGATCGACGTCCATGAGCCTTGCTACAGTGGTCGTCTTGATAAAGCAGAGACAATATGAATAGTTGAAGTAATTCGTAGCGTCGAGAGGAGGACAGGGGAAAACACGGGCCCCGACTACAAAAGTGAAAAATTGAGTGTGATGGAAAAATTCATAAATTTAGGACTTAAATAACGTAAAAGGCTGGAGGTTCACCCTATACCTTAAGTTGGGCATTGTCATCCGACCCCGCTGGGACCATGATAGCCCTATATGCCATGGGGTCCGACAGCTGCCCCAAGGCCTGGCCAAAAACACCGATTTGATCTATCTAAAAGGGTAAAACAAAAAGGATAAAAAGGAGTATTGGTGTACACCTGATGAATGGTATGCCTACGTATTAGTAAAACCTGTAGGCCTATCTGTAAGAATTTGTATATGAAATCGCTCTAAAGGCTTAGGCCAATAATATAGCTGAACTAGGCCTACCTGACGTTTAGAAATTTGAAATCTGTCTAATTATATAAATCTATAATTAACACGTAGGCCTACCTACATCGTCAGAAATCCTGGGCCTGTAAGAGTTAGTACTTGCTGAGCCTACAATATTTTTTCTTTATATTAGCATTTTACATGCCATCCCCTGAAATTTGATAACCAAACGTTGGGGCCATGATTATGGATACCCTTCTGTATGACCTTAACTGACATATAGATATCCTCTAAGATAAATAATACATTTTAAATTGCATGTCATCCATAAACTTTAATTTGAAAGCAAACTTGACGTGTGTATTTTCTTTATCTCTCTTTCTTCAACTATTTTCTAAATGACAATAGGCCTAATAATAATAATGATTATGATGATCTTATTTTTTTTTGTTCCACCACAACCAATGTTTTAAATATTTGCTACTGTAAGCAGTCCTTCTTGAATATTTTTTTGTGAACTTGTGATTGTTTAAGCCCACGAATACTCGTAGACGCTAAAAGAAATTAAATTGAATTAAAGGCACGCGTATTCATCTCAGAGAGCTGCTCGCGGCACTATTTACACTTGCAAAGGGCAAAACCTTTTCTGCACTTTTTTAAAAATTTATTTTCTTTATTTTTTATATTTTACGAACACAGATTACGGTAACCATTTGAGAACAGGCAAAACACAAATTCGAAAATCGCTTACGTTTCATCCATTTATCACCACTCCATCGCGTGGTAATGTATTTTATAGGTACAATATTATACAATTTCTATTTTTCCGTCTTTCCACATAGTAAGATGGTTCTTCACAAGCTTCGATTATTGCTACTGATGTTGAATATCTAAATTAAAACTAATTGGACGCTATGATTTTCATGGTTGATTTCGAAAAAAAAAATAAAAAAAGAATCAAAGCAGTACTTCCACATAGTAAGTACCGTATATATAGGTTCTTCAACACAAGCCTCGATTATTACTATTGATTTGAATATCTAAATTAAAACTAATTGGACGGTATGATTTTCATGGTTGATTTCGAGAAAAAAAAGTGTTTGATGAGATTAGCTTTTCTTGTTTCTTCCATAGGTAACTTAACTCATATACGATGTTATGTTATCTTTTTATCTCTTCACGAGTTCATATGAATTTGTCTTTTGTGAAAGGCCCCACTCGATAGTGATTTTTCACCACCACCTTTTAAATGTAGGGGCCTAGGTTTTCACCTTTTATATAGTGGACACGATCTGAGTCAAGAGCTACCGTAATTTATAGAATGCTGAGATAAAAGTCCAGACGTTAAGCGCAAATTCAATTACCGCAGCATTTAGAGCAGCAGCTTTAGCTCAGTCGGCTAAACTGGTGGTAGCCACTGTGTGTGCGCTGAACCGTGGGGATCTCTATATTCCCGGTTCAATTCCCATCGCTGCTCTCCTTGTGTTTCAGTTAGCGGGCTGAAATGCAAGTTTACGATAGTGCACCGACGTCTTTCCGATGAGACGTTTAAGCCTGGTTGGTCCCGTGTGCATTATGGCCCATGTAACATGCATGTTAAAGCAGTATAATCTTCGAAAAATAGTAGGGGATTATCTCCCGGTGTACTGCCCAATCACTACCAGAAGGACCACACTGGAAACCGAATAAATCTACCCATCCATTACATCTAGTGGACTTCAGTAGTCGACTCTGATTGAATTTTGTATCTACTGCCCTCTTGAGGACAGAGCCACTGCTATCGTCTGTGTCTGTATGCAGATAGTACTTATTCCTCCACGGTTTACAATAAAATCATTTATTGAAATCACTGGTTACAAATATTGAAATATAAGAAACACATGAACACTAAATGAATTACAGTAGACCACTATACGGGTGGTAGTGGGTAGTCAGTCGCCCCAGAAGGGCTCCAGAGGTGACATAGCACTCATAAACCGTAGGCCTATAATGAACTTAACAATACAATCTAAAAAAGAAAATGATATAACCAAAGATAACTGAGGCATTTACACCGTATGCATATGTATATATAGTATTTATTTATAAACGTCCCCCTCGAATATGCCCCCATCCAGGGCCTTTATTTTTTCCTCGAATAAACGTCCTCCCTCCTCCACC